TCTCTACACCACTTGTCTGCAGGAGTACCATCCTGGCTGTCTCTTGACAAACTACAGGCTGCTAAGGGGACCCTCAGGAATATCTAACAACATGAAACTATTCACTGCACCCATTTGCAATATTAACAGGTTATTCCATCTCTTCTCCCAGTCATACAGAAAAGACAATCCAGGGTCCTTCCCTGAAGGTGCTCTGGTGTATTTCCTGCGAGGATTCTGACATCTGTCCTAGCAAACAGGCCTTTGATGTGTGCACTCTCAGGTCTGGATAGGTGCAAGTTTTCTATAGAATACAGTATGAACATGAAACACTAATGCATCATCTCTTCCCAACCAGTGAAGGCTGGTAGATGAAAGGCTCAATAAAAGCAAAAGGATTTGGTTTGCAAAAAATTATCTTTCACATAGCTAAGCTATGGAGCACCTTGTCACAGATGCTGCAAATAATGAAAATTTATATGGGCTCAAAAGGAGTTTTGGTAGGTTAAAGAAGAGAAACAAGAAGAAGGTTAGTTAGTAAATACACAGAAGCCACCTCTGCCTTGAGAAGTCACTGAGCTACAGATGGCTGTAGAATAGTATTCAAAAACCCTGTCATGATTTCTTGCCTACTGTATTCCAGACATCCATTCTGGACCTCCAGGTACTATCCTAGATGGATAAGGAACAGACACGTTTTTATTCTTCTGATTCAGGGTCCCCTGGGATTGAGCACACACAGAAGTTTCATCAAAGCACAATCCATCTTCACCCGCCTATGAGTTGCCCAAGGTCACTTAAAGTGTTGATGACAAAGCTACAAATAAAGCAGAATTGTCTCAGCACCTTCATTTATTCCAATGACTCAGTCCTGCCTGGACACAGAAAAGAAATAATTAACAAGCAATGAAGACAGCAAACCTGTAGTACAGCTCTAATTTGTCCTATTGCTCTTGCACACACCATTATTCTCTCCATATGTAAATGTTATCAGAAGTTATTTACATTTCAACATAAAAACTACGTATCACACTTTGCCTAATTTCCACTAATAATGTTTATGAAGCCATAATATTACAGCAAGCAGTAATTTATGGTGAAAGACAGCCATTTAATGGAAACATGTGGTGTCATGGAAATAATTCTGCTAAAATAAAACTGAGGAAACAGTTAACAATGTTATATTTTCAATATCAGGGTTCTGGATAACAACCAGTTGCTTGAATGCAAGAGAAGAAAAATCTTTCAAGTTCAAGTTTCAGCCAGGTTGCTGGCAGGACTTTGGGGTCATGCACTGCTGTCACATTCCACCCAGCTTCTGAATGCCAGCTTTGCAATGTAAAATATTTAAATATAATCCTTATATCTCCTAGTTCATACTTCTGCTAAGAGAATGCAAATATATAGTAAATTCCACAGCCAGGGAGCTATGTGTATGAAATTCTCAGAAAGATGGATGTTTTCTGCTTGTGTAGCTGCTTTTCAATAAGCTGTTGTACACTGTGTGCTTTTCTAACCTGCTTTGCCTATGTGTGCTCTTCTTAGGGAACAGCTGTGTAGTCATTTTAATCTGACATAAATCTGGCCTGTCTCTAATACAGTTAGTCCCACCATTCTTGTTCCCAGCTGCTCTGACTCACTGCCTCCCTCACTTATGTCCCTGAGCTGTAAATTGCATCAGGGATCACATCCTACTAAAAATGTAATCTGTCTCCCAGTTTGCTGAGTCAGGTTTAGCTTTGTGCTGTGTTAATCTGATTGAACTCTGTCCTGTCCCCTCCCTGTGCCACCCACAGCATGCTAGAAAACAGATTAATTCTTTAAAACATAGGGTTTTTTGATCCAGATCACCTCAGACATACAGTTCATTCAATAACACTTCAATCAATAAAAGCGTTAGCATAAACAACAAGGGATTGGGCCTGAAAAATATCTGCCTCTTTTCCAGTAGCTGCTGGACACATGCTGGCTCAAATACACTGTTTTGGCTCACAGAAGTACTTTCTCAGATGAAATATTAATAAACATATTTACAAGTATATATAAATCATAATCTTTCAAGCTTTTCAAATTGTGGCAGAGGATTTTGCTACTTTCTCATTCTTGGTTTATTCCCATATCTTTCTTCAGTGGATGTCTGTTCACCATCAGACTCAAAAAACCAGCCTGTATTTACTTCATGATCTGCAATACCTGGCTACATAGGCATGTCCTAAATAAATCCTAGAATGAAACCAATCAGAACAGATTCAGTCAACAAAATGCTTATTTTCATACAGTATTCTTTATATTAATGATCACGAATGTAAGGTGAAAAAATTGAAACAAGTCTGAACATCTGTATATGAGATTTCAAAACCTTAACAAAAAATTAGCCATTTTAAAGTTTTGTAGAAGGGTAATACTTCTCATCTTTGTTGCGATCAAGAAGATCATAGAGAGGAAGGGAAAATCTTAGCGTACTGACAAATAAAAATTTATTGCTTGTAAAAACATACTTTTTACATAATCATCATATAACATTTCTACATAATCATCTTTATATAGCATTTTCATTTAATTGTATCCTGCTAATATAGTAAATAAGCATAATGAGCATATGGACTTTTTTTTTTAATTTAAAAATAAATCAATGGGTCACCTTCAAGACTTGTCACTAAATGCTGTTTGGTAAAAGGTACAGGAAAATGGTGTACATGGAAAGTAGAATGTTTTCACTGTTCAGGTAAAAAATTTTGTGGTGTTTTAAAGTATTGGACCAAAATGAGATTCATGGGTGAGGACGAATCCTTGATATGGCTTTTGTAAGATTGTTGTCTTAAAATGTAAATACAGACATGATATAACTCATATGTCTGGTGTTTCATCTGGAGATTAGGATACTCCTAATGGATATCCTCATGGATTAGGATACTTAGGATACTCAGCTGTACTGGGGTGACAGATACAAATGAATGAGCTTGGTTTACAAAAAGTCTTGTTGGCTTGGCAATTTGCTCAAGATTATTTATTATTATTGCTGTTATTTACCAATGTCAGTAATTCAGGGTATTATCACTGAAGGGGTATCAGGGGGAGCCAAAGATGATACAGAGACTCCATCATCAGAAGGCATGAAAAGACACTTTATTATTAGAAATCCACAGTTCTTGTAGAAACAATGGGGGGCCTAAGGCCTGATTGGCCTTTAGGAATCTTCTCTCACCTATTGGTCAAGAAGGGACAACTCCTTGTAAACACCTTTGACAAACAGAGATTGCCTGCCAGGTGCAGAGGTTGAGATAATAATTTTTATTCTTTCTCTGAGCTTTCTCACAGCTTCTCACAGCTTCCCAGGAAAATCCTGGGAGAGCTGTGTCTCCCTCTGTTCAGAGGATATGTGATTACCACAGGGTATGGGCTGACATCACAGTTAAGCAGCAGGGCCAAATACTGCCAAAGGGCAGCCTTGCTTCTAGCACACCCAGACATTTGCTCCCGACATGCCCTTCATGCCAACAGTGGGACACATCTGATGCTGCACTGAGCCACTTCGGGCAGTTAAACCCCAGAAAACTGAACCCCGAAAATGTGATTAAGCTTCAGCCAGTTTGGCCCTGTGACTTTCACATGTAAATAAAAACATCTGTACATAAATATTTTAGAACCTTACCAAAATAAAATCCCCAAAACCAACCAAACAAAAACCCCAAACCAATTTGAAAGGTCTGCAAATAAAAAACTTCTTTCTCTGTTGTGATCAATAGGCTGAAGAAGGGGAAAATCTGATGAACTTTACAGTTGTTTATAAAGAAAATGAAAGCTGAATTGTATTCTACGTATCTCTGTAATTCATAAAAATGTGAGAATGAAGGTGTGAAAAATATGTATTTTATGATTAGCTTTTTGAAAATATTAAAATGAATATTATATGTGTTGTTTTAGAAAGTAATGCTGTATTAATTCTCTTAAGTAGTGTGTTAAATATAGTTTTGGGTTATAAAAAATGTTAAAATAGAAACTATGCTATGTAGGATACTTTTTTTTAAGAAAGGACTCACAGTGAGATAGCGGCCACAGAACACCTAAATCTTTCAGAGAAAAAGAATTTCTTGCTCCCTTATCAGAAGAAACGAACTTCTTCCCGCCTCGAAGGTGCTGGTAGGATTCAGAGGAAGAAGCTGACACTGACCAGACAGAATCCTGTGTTTGAACGGAATTTATGCATCGTGTATGAAGTGTATGAATATGCAACAGGCTATTGCTTTTAAAGGTTAATCCTTTGTTAACGGGTGTCCTTTTATCGGGCTCGTGCTGCCCAGAAAAGGTATGCAAACGTCCATAACTCTTTGTCTCTATTGTCTCATATTGTCCTAATTCAAATTGTCCAAATTATTATTGCTCTAATTGTATTACTATTTTTATAACCATTTTATTTCTATTAAACTTTTAAAATTTTAAAAACAAGTGATTGGCGTTTTTTCACAAAGGTAAGTATTTGCCAGCAGAAACTTTTATTTCTTCTTTATCAGTCAGGAACTGTTATTCTGCCTGTGCAGCTCTGCTCAGCTAAGTTTGTAGCTTCCTTTTTAAAAAATTCACGTGACACTTCAGAGTCAGACTCTTCGCAGGCCAGAAACAGTGGGCTAACCAAAGAAGGGCTAATTTTTAAATCCCGAACGAATCTGCAGTCAGAGACCGACTGGCTCCTTGACCTTCAAAAATCGAGTCGCGTCTTGCTTGTTTTCAGCTGCCCCTCGTTTGCACAAAGGCGTTTTCTATTCCCGGTGCGCTCACAAGTCCCTGCGGGCTGAGAGGCCAGGATCCCAGGCACACAGCAGCACAGGGCACCTCTCCCTGTCGATCCTGCCTTGGAACCACGCTCCCTTCCTCACCAGCGACGTCACCACCAGGCGCACTCGCGCTCTCGGGTCACTCCCCCGCCAAGGGCCTGCCAAAACCCGGCATCCCGAACCGCGATTGGCGGATCCGCCCCCGCCTGCGCCGGCGGGACCGAGCCTCGCCGAGCTCCCGGGGCTGCCATGGGCGAGCAGGCGGCTCAGCCGCGGCGGCCGGGGGTCGGCGTGGGGGTGGTGGTCACCAGCGCCGCGCACCCCGGCTGCGTCCTCCTGGGCAAGCGGAAAGGCGCGCTGGGCGCCGGCACCTACCAGCTCCCCGGAGGCCACCTGGAGTTCGGGTAGGAGCCCCGCGCCCTCCCTCCCTCCCCGCCGTGCCCTTCCCTTGCCCGCCGTGCCCTGAGGCAGCAGTGCGGTGCCGTGCCGTGCCTTCCCTTGCCTGCCGCCCGCAGGGAGAGCCTGGCGGAGTGCGCGGCGCGGGAGACGCTGGAGGAGGCGGCGCTGCCGCTGCGCCACGTGCGGTTCGCGTCGGCCGTGAACGCGGCGTGCCCGGCCCAGCGCTACCACTATGTCACCGTGCTCATGAAGGGCGAGGCCGAGCCGGGCGCCGAGCCGCGCAACCAGGAGCCCGACAAGAACGAGGGTGAGTAAGGATCTAGTCGCCGTGCCGCGGGCAGGGACACCTCCCACTAGGTCAGGCGGCTCCCAGATTCATCCAGCCTGGCCTTGAACGCTCCCAGGGATGCGGCATCCGCAGCTTCTCTGGGAAATGAAAAGGCTGCTCAGGCAAAATGACTCTGTCACCTGTCTTTGTATTGGTAGTTTCTATATGATCCTTCTAGACTTGAAGAGGAAGAATTGTTATATCACAGAAACAAAGAATATCCTGAATTGGAAGGGACCCCCAAGCATCATTAAATCTCATTCCTGGCCCTGCACGGGGCAGACTCAGCAATCCCGCCTTGTGCCTGAGCTGTCCAAGCACTCCTTGAGCTCTGTCAGGCTGCACTATGGAGCCTATTCCAGTGCCCCACCACCTTTCCCTAACATCCAGCCTAAAACTCTCCTGCCACAGCTTCATGCTGTTTCCTTGGGTCCTGTCTTAACTCTTTACTCAGATTTTTCTTCCTTTTTCTTTTTTTTTTTTTTTTTTTTTTTTCCCTACAGGCTGGGAATGGGTCAGATGGGATGAATTTCCTCCAGCAGATCAACTGTTCTGGGCCTTACGCTGTTTAAGAGAGCAAGGCTACAATCCTTTTACAGAGGAGCTCGATCATCTAAAGGGGTACACGGGAAGTCACCAATTAGAGTAAAAACAAATTGTATGTTATGTAACAAACTAAAGGACAGACCTGCTTTTTTGGTGTAAAAGAAAAAAAGATACGAAGTGCTCACCCTGCCCATGTGAAAATATTATCTTTTCCCAAAGAAGAACATGCCAACTGTTTCAGTGCTTTTCCCATATTTCACATGATGGTTGTCTCTCATTCCAGACCCATTTCTAGGTTTAGTAGTTAATAATTAACAATTTCTTTTACAGAAAACTCAGTGTTTTATCTAGTTAGTCTTTACACTGATGACCAGCCATTTGAAAATCAGCACTAGCCAGGGAAGCTTACTCACTTAAAAGCAGTTGCAGCAAAACTTACTCATTCAAACCTGCTTTCCTGTAATTATTGGACCAATTTTAAAACTTGGCCTTGTCTCTTAGCTTCACTTATGAAGCTACTGTCATGAGCAAAAGTTACATTTAATAGACAATGCCTTTTTTCCCTGCAGACAGCAGTATACACTTGAAAATCAAAGGAGTATTATAAATGTGAAAAGATTGTCATGACTTATTGCAGGGAATGAAAGTTCCCTGACCCTTCTTGCCAGTTGTTTTCATAACAGAGTTCTGTTTAGAGCCTCAATTACATTGAATTTATCTGCAGAAATGTCTCAGATCTCTGCAATTTATCTGAGTTTGTTATTGAACTCTTGGAATGGAGAGGTGCCTACTCTACTAGGTTGACACATTTATAAGTGTAGCTCCATGGCAAAAATCATACTTAGTGGCTAAAAAGAGTTGTCAGTATTAAACGGCACGCATGGGTGTAGTTCCGTATGGCTGACTATTGAGATTTGGTGAAATTGTGGTGAATTGGTGAATTTTCAGTTTGACTGATTAAATGACTGTGTTGTTAGTGAATGTATTGGAATATGAATCCCAATATTATCAGTTAGATGGTGCCTGGGCCAGTCTGACCCTCGCTGCTGGGCCAAAGGCAGCAACTGTGGTGTAAATCACCCCAGAGATACCTTGGCTGCTGGAGATTGCAGCTGGGCACTGAGCAAGTCCAGGCTTGTCAGGAACTCCGTTTACCTCAGGAGAGAGAGCTTCTGGCGATGGTGAAGAGAAAAAGGAGAGGATTCCGCTGCAGGGTTTAATGTCCAGAAGTTTATTCCATGGTTACAGAGGTCTGGACGGGAGCAGCTGCTCCAGCAGAATAACGAGCACATGGCCTGATCACCTTTTTAAGCTCCCGGGGCAGGGGGAGGGGGGGGACAGATGAGCACCAACCAGGTGAAAGGGGCGGGGTCTCAAGGGACGAGGGACACCTAGACATAGGCCAATGACCCCTGGGCATAGGGGCATCTTTTGAACTTGACCAATCACACCATGCCTTGCTGGAATGTTAAGCCTGATTGACACAACACACTAAGCAAGGGGGCGAGGGGGAAGGGAGAGGCATATAGGCACACCTGGGAAAGGGACCCAGAAGCTTAAGACACACCGCAACATGAATGAAATTACAGTACCCAACAGTACATACAAAACCAAGAAGTTAATATTTTTAATTTTTCTAGAATCTGTCACTAATCTTGATTCTTTTCCAGCTGTTGTCACTAAGACATCAGTGATTAATTTTAAGATATAACTTTCAAATCACTGGTTGGCTCACTTTTTTTCTTGTCAGGGTTCTTTTATAGCATACCTCTTGTCTATTCCCTTTAGATACACTCATTGTACAAAAATGTTGTAAGGTTTCTTTAATTTCTTTTGAATAAAGTACAGGCACAATACTGAGAGATTAAAATTGCCTGGAATTATGAATTGACTTCTCAGTTCTTAAAAGAAATCAGCTTGAGGGATTTAAGGCTCTTCCTTACTTTGAACATACATTTTTTTAAATGGAGATGGCTCTTCTTGCTGAGAAACAGAGTGATGAGGCATAAGGATGCTACTGCCCCTGGCAATCCTCCTAATTAGAATTTGAAGTATTAATTATGTGCAACTTCCCTTAGGACAGACACCCGTTCTCTGAAGTGAAGAAAGAAGCAACGTTACACAGCAGTCTCGAAATGGGAAATTTCACCAAAATTTCCTTTGCTACTGTAACTTTGTAAAAATCTTATTTTTCTATTCAAAAGTGGAGATTTGCTTCCTGCAAGCAACCTTATGTACACTGAAAATTATTCCATTCAGCTGTCAACAAAGAAGCTGTGGGAAGAGTTGACAGATGTCCCGCCCATCTGTCACAAAGAATAATGAAGAAAAAAAATTAAATTATTTAGTACAATTTTTTATTTTAGAAAACATCTAGGTCCTGATGAGAGAACAGGGACCAGTGTAAAATGGTCTGTCATGCAATAAATACTTTCTTGGCATATTTTGTTAATGGATACATACATTCTATTTCTTGTAAATACACAAGTAGACACTGAAATGAGGACACAACAGTATCTCCATATGTCAACATTTCTGTATCTTTTCAAAATGGACAGATTAAAAGACTACAGTGCATTACTGCAACCAGCTGTCAGCATTCCCCAACTTAAATAACTTTGTATGTATCACACATTTATATTTCCCACCCCTCCAGAAAATGTGGTTCTCAGTCGATTTTAGCTGCCAAGACTCAGTCCTTTCAAGTAAGTCTTTACTTTGATTTTTGGTACTTTTGCTAAATAGGAAAATCTATTATGTTCATATCTAAGCCACCATATCATATCATGGTTCACTAAACTGCTTGTAACTGACAGAATTCACCTAAAATGGCATTACAGTTAGCCAGCACTGAGAAGCATACTCCTGAACTGCACATAGTTTGAAGCACTGATGCAAAGAAACTGATTAGAATGCATCTAATACCCAGAGTTTGATTTTATGCTAAGTGAACAGTGGGCAGTACTATTGCCTTACCTGTTTATTAGATGGAATATATTGGTTCCATTTAATCCCTTAACAGAGTAACTAGCAAACCAGAAAAAGAAGTGGTCATTGCTTTAGTTCCCTCTTTGTCTGAAAACAATCACCCACCTCCACAATATTTCAGTTGGTGAATTACATAGATACAGCCATAGAAGAGTTTTGAGTAGACTGTAACACTACACTTCCCATGAGCTTTAATTACATATGTTTGTATTTTGTTTCAAGAATGTCCTTGGAAGTTAGAAGATAAAAGAGGCTGGCGAACTGTGTGTGCTAAGACAGGGGCATTTAGAAAGAAAATACTAATCCTATTATCCAAAGCATTAAGAAATTCCATTTTGTAATATTGTGTATGATTCTGATCACTAATGTGAGCTAGAGAAGGGGTAGGCAAGGTTAACTAGAATGACTGAGACAGGGCACATGTATTTGGATTAATGTGAATTAAAGAGGAAAGACATTGGAGATAAGCACCCAAGAGGAGAACATGGTACTGAATAAAGGTTACAGTATGTACATATATTAATAACTTTAAGCTGTGAAAGAGGTGACAGTTTAATAACTCTGAAAATACTTCTAAAAGGAACAGCTGAGACAAAACAAATTCCCCATTTCTCTGAAAACAAAACCCACTGCCCCATATTATGTGATTGAATGTGACTGAAGTCCTTCTTTCTACAGCCTGAAGGGATTTGTACAGGTTGGTCACAGGTGGCAGCATTACTGGCAGCAATGTTTGAAAGATTACTTGAGCAAAGGAGGAATTACCTGATTCATCAGATACTTCCTGTGAGGAATCTACAAAATGGAAAAGGGAAGAGAATTGTGATCTATGCTGCAGGAAGCTGTGCTGCAGGACAGAAACCTTTAACTGCCAGGAGCAACAGTTCACATGAGTTTTGAAATTCTACCAGAGGGTTACATAAGAGAAAAGCAGCTGTCATAAAATGACTCCTTAAGCAAAACAGAACAAGGAAAGGAAAGCCAAGGGAAGTGCCTTTGGAAAGACAAAATAACATTGCAGCTGATGCAGGAAATGCAGTTGTGAAAGTAAACAAATCAGCAGGTTCAAAGAACTGAAAAAATTATAGATGACAGGGACAAAGAAATCCTTGAGCACTTTGATCTGAAAGGAGCTAAACCTGCAGCATGCCCCACAGTGTGTCACCTCCAGGGTCCCAGGACACTTAACCAAGTATTTGGGGCAGCTTGTGGGTGGGCACTGGCTGCTTCAGGGTCTGCCCAGCTTTGTGTGTGCGTGGAAGGGCTCACCTGAAAAGGAAGGACAGACTTTCCACTTCTGACTCCTCCTCAGCTGCTTCTAATGCTGACTGGGCATTTTGCATAGTGGAAAAGGGAGTACAAACTTCTGAAACTCAGTCAAAATTCAACCACATACTGGGATAAAATGTACTGAGTATTGAAGTTACATGGCAACTCATCTAAGATTCAAGTTTGGAAAACAAGTTAGATCAAAGCTGAGTTTATTTATGACAAATCATTCATTATATATTACAATAATTACAAACTCTTTTATTACACCTTATTGCCATATTTTTGTCCTTGATACACAGATGCTCAAGAACACAGATTTAGGCAGTAACAAAAAAAAGATACATTACAAACTTCATGTTTCATTTCTGTGGCATAGAAAAGGCTATCATCAAAAAAGTAAAGTTACTAACAAACATACAAGGGGATTCCCCTTACACATTTTTTCCCAGGAACTTATGTCATCTAATGTATAGTAAATACATATATATAAATATATATTTACACATCTCTTGCAAACATACATTTACACAATCACTGAAAATCTGACATCTCTCCCCCAGCAGACAGCTCCCAGACATTTCTCCCAGCTCCCAGAACATCTAACAGGAAAAAAACAAGTCTCTAGTCCATGGTTTTAAATTAGTCACCCTATTTCTGAGCCAGCTGTTATCTTCTCCCTACACGGGGCTGCTGGTGTAACAAAAGAATATTGCAGTTTGTGACAAACAGCATCTAACCTACCTTCACCACAGGAAAGGTCTACTAGGGATACTGTCCCCCTTGTACCTAGTCTGAGTCACTGCTGCTGCTTGAGGAGTCTGTTGACATAACTTCTACATCATCTTCATTCTCTTTATTGTGTCCTGGAGGCTCCAGCATGAAGTCATTACTATGATTAGGAGGTAGCATGTTCATTGACATATCACTTGACTGCCAAGGATACTGAGGAGCAAGCACATCTGGAAAAACAGAGGCATCATCAAGAAAACTTTCAGTTTTGTATATTGACAAATTCAACATGACAGCTCAACCAGAACTTCAATATAAAATCAGAACAAATCTTGAAATCCTTTCTAAATTTTGGATAGATTAAACCCTCCAGAAAGAGCTGGAAAACATCTCCTGATGGAGCAATTCTATAATTGTAAAAGTCTGCTCTGCCAGAGAGGCCCATTTATGTGAGTGGCTCTTGATAACTCATACTCAATACAGAGCTTTTCATCTTCAAAGCACAGTTTGAACCAATTCAGCATTCACAACTACTGGGAGTAATGAAAATTATCACAGTCTGTCAGTATGCAAAAATAGGTTAAAATATTAGATTTTAAAAAAATCAGGCAGAACATAAAAATTCAGAGAAAAAGGCTTTATCCAAATATGCCTGAAAAGCAGCTCAGAATGGAAGCTAGTGTTTTACATTGTGTGGCCATGCTTCAATGCTAGAAGCAGTCTGCTATTAAACCAGGCTGAATGGGTGTGCTAAGCAGCCTCAAAGCTTGGAGGCTACTGAGCAGTCCAGAAACTGGTGTGCACATTCACTAAGGACTCAGTAACTGGATATCTCTGCAGGAGTCTCCAAAAGGACTACATCCCATAATTAGCATTCTTAGGACATGCCTCCACACACCAACAGATTCAGCATCCCTACACAAAATGCCCAGGCAGCTTCAACTTTCTTGTAAATCAACGTTTCCCTCCTACCTTGACAGTCTGTGTGAGTGTTTAACCTGACAGAGGAGCCCAAGACTCAATCAAGAATTTTACTGGAGGAGTTTTTCCAGTTTCTCAAGGAAAATTCCTAAAATTCCTGGAAATCCCTTTCAGTTCTTATAGAGACAGCACTCAAAAGTAAATGGATCAAGTCTGCATCCTCTAAGGCAAAGGAGCCAGCCACAATGGGGTCTACTAAAACATACACAAAAAATATGCAACTTCTAGTTACCTTTCTTTACTAGGTATTCACTGCTAAGGAAGAACATTAACCACATTTTTTATTGCTTTACCTCTGATTTGCCTTTGCTAAGGGAAATGTATAACTGCTGTGAATCTATAAGCAATAAAGAAAAAACAAAACTGAGTTTCACTTACCTGGCAGCCTGCCTGCTGCAAGTGCATCCCCTGGTAAGTGTCCATTGACTCCATTGCTGGGTGGGTTGTTCATCTGACCCAAGAGACCACTTCTCATTTCCAGATCTGTGGGATATGGCCTACGTGGGTCCCCTTTAAGAAAAAAGGAAAAAGAATGCCTTGAAATATTTAACAATTGTCTTGCAGACATTAGCTTTAGCTTCAGAACCTAGCTGAATGACCAAAAAACCCCATACTCTGGTTGCTTGGATGAGTAATGACTATCACACCTGTTTATTAAAATTCAAGTCTGTCTTTCACTCAGACTTTGTTCACTCAAACTTGGCAGCAAAAGCATATTAAAAAAACCCCTAACAACCCAAAGCAACTCAAAACAAAACAAAAAAAAACCCCATCATGCTTAAAAGATATCTTTGCTCACCCTGCTACTTCACAGTTAAACAGCAAGGACAGGAATTGGATCAAACACATTTTCATTTTGGACAAATAAGGTTGTACCCAAAATTGAAACATGTCATAGTAAAAGTTTTGCTTCTGGCTCCACTGTTCACTAACATTATCTGAAAGAATATTGTAAGGGGCAAGAGGGAACACAACCAAACACACAGAAAAGCTCTTTGCATACTTGGCTTTGACTTATTATCAGGGTAAACATTCAGGGGAAAAAGGCAAACAAGGAAGAACAGAGGCCAGTCTGTTAATGAAAGCAGACAGTTTCATAACCTTTTGGAGATGTATGTGAAGTCCACAGGATTTTGGATATCCATTTTAGATAAAACTAAATATTTTGAATTAAATATTAAATATAACAGCTGAAAACAATTCTAGTCTAATAAACCCTGGTGTTTATCGCTGTATAAAAACATTTTAAGGGCAGATATTAACCATGATTTATTATTTAAAAAAAAATCTACTGTCATAAACACAACAGTTACCTGGTACCCACGTCAGAGGGGCACAAACAGCATTGCTAGCACTGATCCTATGGGCATATTTAATTATTTCTTCAGAGGAAATGGCACCTGGAAGAATGGAAAAAAATGTTGCTGCATTCTCAAGAGATTGCGTCATTTAATTATTTCAGAATATTGACCACCAATATCTAAAAGGCTGGGAATGTGATTTTGCCAAACATTAAGGGCCTGGTTCAAAAGCAATGACTGTTTAGAAGATTCTCAATCTATGCAAAGATGAGCTTTGCAGTGAACTGATTTTACACACACAAGTACTAAACACCTTCAATATCAATGGTTCTTCAACCTCATGAAAACCACAAACAATCTCTTAAACAAGAGTACTTGACAAGCACAAAAAAAGTCTAAAACTTCAGCTCCTGCTTACTATAGAATTTTCTCTAGCAAAGAAGTTTAATTTGTTTGTTTAGAAACTATAGGCTGTAGCCACAAGAGTCCTTCCAAATATGTGCTTGTATTAGATTAATAGAAACTTTATTCAATGCCTTGATTTTCTAGATGAAAGAGGCATAACAAAATGACAGAAGACACCATAAAAAAAAAAAAAAAAAAAAAGAAAAAAAAAAAACAACCAGAAAAAACCCAAGCAAAACAACCTTAAGAAAATGCCTTCCCTCCTCCAAAAAAAAGTTAGTTTGGTAAGTGCCACAGAATGGCAGGAATTGCTACAATTACAGTCTGGCATCACCTATCACCAGCTAGTCAGTGTGTGCATATACACACAAACATTCTCTTCCTTTCCTTAGCAAACCTCCTGAGGAAATCTGGTAAGGTCCTTAAGTAATCAGACATATTATTATCAGTCCAAGAAGACTGCTGAGACACTTTCATATTAAAATATGCTTGCCACAAAAAAAAAATAAAATTCAATGCTGTCTTTATTCTGAGAAAATGGTTACAGTTTCATAATGAAATGGAAATTTGTTTACACACAAAGCATCTGAAATCTGTGATGGAAGAATTTAAAAAAATTTCAAAGGCCAAATTTGAGCTCACTAACAACTTTCTTTAGAATTGCATTTACTTAGTATGTACAATTATGGATACTCACCTTTTCGTGCTTTTTCAATTGATTTCAGTTTTTCCTTTGCTTGATAAACAGCTGTTGCCTAGTTGTAAAAAATAAAAACCCACAAAGGAAACCAAACCTTCAATGCATCTTTCATTTATAAACATCTACATAAAGTCAGCTTTGTGAATAAACCCTTCCATTTAATTGCATTTTAGAAGAGAAACTTCTGTGAACATTTTCCAAATATACTGAAATAAAGTAGATTTAAAAGCAAATTAGCATTATTTTAAAAAAAAACTTAATACCATGAATAACTAAACAGTGTTTGACTACTGAGAAAAAATCCAAACCAATAAGCTCTTATGAAGTTTTAAATATTTAAATCTTCTCAAACTAACATAACACCACTTTGCCCAGAACCACCTTTTCTACAAGAAGATGCTCAAAAGCAAACACATCATTATGAACTTACCAGTATGTGCTCTGCTTCTTTAAGCTGTTTCTGCAGCTGCTGAATATCATTATCCCGCTTTTCTACTACCTTTTCTAAGAGCTGCATTTCATGATGGATTTTTCCCTGATCCACTGCCAACTTCATCAGCTCTTGAAACTCTCCATCTCTCTGAATCAGCAGTTCCAGGATCTATTGAACAACAGTTTTGTACAACTTTTAATTTGGCTAGAGTAACAACACACCCTCAGTCATGCTACAAAGAAGAGCAAATGGCATCCATAGGAGTATTTTTGTTTGAATGAAAAATGAAACAAAATTTCTTCCTGTTTGCAGAAACAGCCTATGAAGCACATAAAAAAATGAATAAAAAACAGGAGAACCAAAAATGCCTTTGCAGCAGGGCCAAAGCCCCATTGTGACCATTAACTCGAATGGACAAAGGGAAAAAGAATGGAAAAAAGTTAGAAGTAAAGCATTATGCTTACCCAAAGAAACACAATTCAGAAAGTCAGCTTACCTGGCTCTCCTCTCCTGGTTGTGGAAGTTTTTGGTTTCTTGAAATTGCCAAAATTTCAATTAGCTCCCTGAAAGGAGAACTCAGTTTGAACAATTTTCGAAGGCATTCTCACATCAAGTCATCCCAAAATTACGCCAAATTTACGCAGAGGACTGGTATCATTACGAAAGCATTCATGGACCTGAGTATTTTATATTTTTTAGTACAGTGTGGACAAGGATTTTTCAACCAAGAAAACACATTTTTTTCTTTGTTATTTGAGCTATTATTTGTTATTTGAGCTATATTTGTTATTTATCATGAAGCTCCCATGTATTTGAACTCAAGAAATGTGCTAAGTTCCTGTTAAACCATAAAAGACATAAACAGAAGATGAGAGAAGAAACAGCATAATGGAGTGCCCTCAGACCCTTCTTCTACTACCTTTATTTGTTGCAAGAGGGTCTTCACTGTTTTACTTCTCTACTTTTCTCCATTTTTTCCCCAATATACTTGTTATTTAGAGCAACTAAGTCTGCACTTTCAAACACCAACAGAGTCTGTTATGGAACTACTTTTACAAGTATTTCCACAAGAATATATTAGCTGTGCATCAAGCACACAAAAAATATAAAAGAACCCTGGTAATATTCTGGTGCTGGAAGTGCTTCTCAAACAGACCTCTTGATCACTCTCCCAGATATCCAGATATTCTGCCACTGTTCTGAAGAACCTCTGGGTATCACAATGCAAAAAGGCATTTTCTGTAAACTGAGCAAAGTTATTTGGCTTCTAAGACTCTGAATGACAGTTCAAGCCTAAGCACGGAGACACTGCCCTTGCAAGTACTGGTTATTTGCTTGGTCCAGCTCATTGGGGTGTGAGTAATACAGCAGTGGAGCCAGAAATGTCTCCAAAAAAACCCAGTAATGCTCTGATCTTGGTCTATGTCTCTTGCTCACTCCTGAACACTACTATGGTTACAAACAATTAGAGAATAAAGAAACTTGTCACTGTTACTAAAGCTTTATTCCATCTGACCAACAATGAGCAGCAGCAAATCCATTTTAAGTAGGTCAGCCACCACCATCGAGGGTGATGTCACAGGGCGCTGTAATTCTGCCCTGTGTCAGCCAGATAATGCACAGATGTAGATTCAAAACTACAGAAAGGCGACAGATTAGACATGTGGCCTAATTTCTGCCCCTACCACCAAACGAGTACTGTGACAGAGAAAGGCCTACCCCCAGGGTGCTGCAACACTTTGCTGATCAATAGGAAGATTCTCTAAATGCCACTGAGCGTTGCTGCGGCTTCATTGTGGTAGAACACTAGCGTTCCAAAAAAAGTAAGTAATTTAGATAAGGAACAAGTTTGTTTTCATTTTTCCATAAACACATGCTCTCCAGCAACTCTTGTGTCACAATAAAATCTGTGACTGAGGAGAAAGCTTAACCAGACACAAGCAGAGCAACTCACCAATAGCTTATCCTCCTCTTGGTAATCACTGAGCAAGCGAGCCATACACATGGATAGCACAGCTTATTTCCTCTGAAAGTGTTTTCCTAAGCTCCTGCTCTCCCTGAGGTGTGGAAAATAATTAGGAACTATCTGAACTTCACTGCCAGCTGTAGCTCCACGACATGGTTGACAACGGGGATGGGGATTACCAGCCAGGACTCAAGACCCTGGATTACGTATCTGAGCATTTCTATCACTGAAGAGGAGCTCTGCAGCCTACTTGGAATGAATGTAGCACTAATACAGGCAGTGACCAGGAGAGCTGATGTCATGCAACACCATCTACGCATTTCTGACTTAAGCATATTTTTTAGTGAGTAATAGAATGCCTAAAATCAGCGTGTGAGTGCGCACTTCACAGAAAACGCAGGTGTCAACCAAGTGACAAAGGCAAGTGGGAGAAAAAGGGAGTTGCTCCTTCTCTCTGCAAACCACCGATGCTTTCCCACAGGGACGAGCGCGGGCAGCGCTGCGCAGGGCCGGGCCGAGCCCCGCCGCAGCTCCAGCCCCTCACCCGCAGAGCCGGCCTGGGGACGGCCAGAGAGCAGGAGAAGGCGAACCCGAGCGGCTCGGGCCAGCGCCGGCTCCAGTCGCGCCGGGCCCCTCCCATCCCACCCTCGGGGGCTGCCGCTCCGCCCGCCGTGCACGCACCGCGCCGGGAGCCCTCACCCCGCCCCCGGTGCCCCGCCGCTACCCGGGGCCGACGGGGGCCCGAGCGCGGTACCTGGCCAAGAGCTCGAGATCCTCCAGCGCCGCCAGGAGCCGGTCCCGGGTGCTGCTCCGCTCCCCGCCTCCCCCGCCCGCCGCCGCCCCGGCCCCGGCTCCGGCTCCGGCTCCGGCTCCTACCGCCGCCGCCGCCATCGCCATCCGGGCGCGGACCCGAGCGGGAACAGCCCCCGGCCGGCGCGGGCGGGCGCGCGGCAGCGCCCCCGGTGGCGGACGGACGGGCTGCAGCCGCGAGGCGGAGCGCGCATGCGCGGGGCGGGGGGGCGGATCCCTCCCCGCGGGGGCCGGCGGGGCTCGTCCCGGGGACCGGGGTGTGAGGGGAAGGGAGGGGAGGGCGGTTCTGCCTCATCGAGGCCACATGCGCGTCTGTGAGAGGCCTGTCTTGAGGCGGGGTTGCTGCGCAAGGGTCTGCGCTTGTTGCTCTTTGAATCACAGGGTCATTTAGGATGGAAAAGAGCTCTGGGATCATGGAGTCTGAACAGCATCATGTCAATCAGACCGCGACACTAAGGGCCACGTCCAGTCTCTCCTTAAGCACCTCCATGGGTGGTTGGTTACACCACCACCTCCCTGGGCAGTCCATTCCAATGTTTAACTACCCTTTCTGTGAGGAAAATCTTCCTAATGTGCAACTTAAACCTTGTCTGGTGCAGCTGAAGATTTGACTGTGATCTCTTGTTGTCCTGTTGGTAGTCCCTGGGGAGGAGAGGTCAGGCCCCACCTGGCTACAACCATTCCAACTGGAATGCATTTTTGGGTCCCCAGGTCCCCACAAAGAGCCTCCAGATGACACTGATGTATGCTAAAGACACAGAAAACAGGTGAAGTGTGTTCAATTTAATTACATCTTCAGGGGTTTAACTCAGTTTTTGAGAGTCTTGCTGTCCAAAAATCCCGCCTTTGATCAGATGGAGGATGAAATCACAGAATCACAGAAAGGGTCAGGTTGGGACCACAGAGGGTCATCTGGCCCAACCTCCTTGCTCAAGCAGGGTTGTCCTAGAGCACACTGCACAGGATTGCTTCCAGAGGGTTCTTGATATCTCCAGTGAGGGAGACTCCACAACCTCTCTAGGCAATCTGTTCTAGCACATGGTCACCCACACAGTAAAAAAGTTCTTCCTCATGTTCAGGTGCATCAGTTCCTGCCCATTGCCTCTTGTCCTATTGCTTGACACCAGTGAGAGGCACCAGGCTCCATCCTGACATGTCTCCTTTAAACATTTATACATTTATACATACAATCAAAGAAGGTTAAGTGCCTGCTAGGGAAAGCACAACAAAAACCTGAGCTTTAAATCAGACCAAGGCCAGGATTTTACCTGGGCTGCCTGTCCCATACATGACCAGAGACAACACTGCCTGTGCACACCTGCGTGTCCATGAAGGCAGCTCAGTGTCCATCACGAACCTCTGCACACAATGGTCGGGGCAGGTAATAGGCACAAATCCTGCCCCAAGCCCTAAAAGAAGTTGAATTAATTAAAAAGTACTGCTGTGTTGTGGGGTTTTCTAATTATAGCTGCTCTATATGGGCTGGTCAAACGGGCTGCTCGATCTGGGTGGAGTCGCAGTGAAGCCAGTGGAATTTTTTTATATTAATAAAATTTTCAGTAATGTGGAAAACCCTGAGAGGGCAGGGTGGAGGGAAGGTGAAGGAGCACAGAGTGAGAGCTAATCTGGGGCCAGGGTTTATTAATCAGGGCAAGCACTGCCACAGAACAAGAGGGAGACCCAGGAGACCCCCATGTCCTTCTGCTGTCAGCAGGCAGCTGCCTGTAAACAGCAATTTTCTTCTCCCCTGATTAGAGAAACGCCTGAAAGGCCTACATGAACAATACTACCCTACATGAGCAATAACGTCTCTGACTGCTCTGGTATTTACTCTGATTATCTGCAATAAGTGAAACCTTCTGCAATAAGTGTGTTCCTGAGAAATTTACATTTATTTAAAGAAGAAAAAAAAGGCAAGAAACTCATTAGTCAGTAATTCTTTGGATTGTGATTTAAATAAGCAATTCAACATTATGAGATCTGTGATAAAGCAATGAGATTTGGCAACTCTGAGAAAAAAACTTTGCCAACAGGAGTTATTTAAAATTCCTTCGCAATGCCCAACAACCCTCAACATTCTGATTGTAAATCGTTTGGGAATTCTGTTTAAACTGCATAGCAGATAAAATCTCATCAAATAGTTCTGCCTTTTAAATAAGTTTTGCTTGCTTTTTTTTTCCCTCCTCTATTTCCTTGCTTTTGTTCAGGGAAAGATGTAATCAGTGATGGTGTCTGCTTGTGCATCCAGTTCACTGATTTGTTAGTGTCTGTATGGGTGCATAAATAGAAAGAAATAGCGACATCAAAAACAAAGCAGTCCTTCCACTAAATCATTTTCTTCCTCTTACTCATTTTGACATCTGAATTATTTAGACTTGAAGCACTTGTGCTATATTTCAGGGCAATAATGCTGCTTTCACTTGAGCTAAAAGCTTGCAGCATTAACAGGACTCCCAAAGTTGACAGGTGTGAATATCTGTTATAGGTGATTTCTGTAGCCTGATCTTTCATTCTCCTTGTGCCTGGGAGCTTGTTCCCTCCCTTTCTCTTTGCAGCAGCACTACTCCCATCCAACCAGGCCAATGCCACCCATCTTTCCCTGGAGTAGCCACCTTTCTCTCCCTACTTCTCTTCCAGGCAACATGGACAACTGTCTGCTTTCTGCTGCCCAGTGCTTTCCTTCTCCTTGCCCTGGCCATGCAGCCGTGGCTGGGGAGTGCAGTGGAATAGGCAGAGACTTTGTTGTGCTCGTGCCTCTGTGTGGGAGCACAGGGTGAGACCAGAGGTATCAGGCAATGCCTGCTTGTGCCAAGACACAGAAAGTCATTCAGACCATGCCAGAGGGGTCATCTCCTTCAGGACAAAGGGAAGGGCTGGGTGAAATGGGCTTGTGCCCCAAACTTGTCCCTTGGGGCTGATTACTTTAAGACTGAGTGAATAATTTGCTGAATAGACTTCTGAAATATTTGCCTTTAAAAACAACAGAGCCTCTGTTCCCCCAGTGTTGGTTCCTCTGTTACCTCAGTTCTTCAGTGCTTTTCTCCTACTTTCCCCTGGGTAAACTTCTTTCATAGTTGTGTTGGTTTTGAGCCAGACCTGCTTCCTTAAAGATCATGCCCTGGCTGAATAACTCACTATTGTTCCCAAATTTTTCCAGTAGTCTGAGAAAATTTTAGTTTGTGTGGCCATACATGGATCTTTGCACAGTGAGTATATTAGACATTTCAGAGTTCTTTCATTTCAGATTGTCTATTCAATGGCATACTGAATGCATTGTTAGCAACCTGCTTGCACAAGCAAAAATAGCTTATTTTATCTTGTTTGGTTGAGTCTTTTCTCTTCCAGAATGGGCCTTGAAGTGATGATCTGCAGAGCAAACTGAGTCCTCTAGACAGGTCTAGGAGCAGCTGATCTGATCTAATAGTTCACCAAGGGCAAGAAGCTGAGATGTTGCTAACTTCTCATGTCCCAAGTGCAGATTTTCAACCACCCTTAGCTCCTCCTTGGTGTTTGCCATATGGTCCATGAGCCACTTCAACTCAATAACCAGACTGAAGAATATTTAATTTGGGAGAGGGTGTTCATTTCCTTCTGTTTTAGAGAGTGAACTCTAACCTTATCATATGGAGGCATGCCTTCAGAACGTGGCTTTAGTTACCACTAATTTCATGGGACTATGGGCTACTGGGCTACTGCTGAAAAGTGATGTTTTCCCCTTCTCTTATTCATAATTCAGTGCAATTCAGACCTAGGATTCCTCTAGTGCAAAGCCTTTCCTTCCAACATAATACTGCGATTTCTTAACTTCAGGTATTCCTACTTTTTTTTTTTTTTTCCATGAACTAGAGGATCACTTTAGAACATGGAAGCTGAGCTGTAGAGAATCTCATCTAAGAAGTCCAAAGCAGGTCTGTGCTTCAGTTAAAATCTGTTTTTTTCTGGGCTACAGTGTTTTTCAGCTATCTTCTAATTTATACTTTCCAGACACTAGACATCAAGTGTTCAGTTGGCAACAGCTAGGTTTACCACACCTTAAAATAATAGGGAAAAATACTGACTACAGAAGATACATAACTCCTGATGGCTCTCAGGACCATGTGTAATAAAGCATTGCAATCACTACAAATGAAAGGGCAGGAGGATAAGCAAGGAGAGCAAGAAGGAAAAAGGACAGAACAAATACTCATTCCAACTTTCCCTAAATAATGTAAAAATAAAATCTTTTCTGTCAAATATGAACTAAAATAGAAATCAAACATCTTGAGCACTGTTTGGAAGGATTTCACAGCTGTACTTTGGTCTGGGAAGATGAGAATAATCGTTCCTAATTTGTCAAGATGTCTTTACACCATTAATATTTTGAAATGTGTCTGATAAATCATTTCTTATTTCTATTTAAAAAGAAATCTATTTTTCTGCTCACTTATGTTGGATAGCAATGTTAGACCAATTAGACAGGAAATGACAAAGGTGGCTTTGCTTAACTGGTGTAATTTTAGAATAGGTCATAGATGAGATAAAAATAGATAATACTATGAGCCAAAACTTATTTTTTGGGGTGGAAGGAGTGTGAAACACTAGTACATATGGCCAAAACCAGAGTTTGGTATGCCATTCCAGACTGTTTCAGCACAGAATTAGCTCTGCTTTGAGCTATATTAAACTTGAGTTACGCTGATTTCTTCTGGTGTAAATTTGGGCGCAGAGCCCCTCAAGACAGGAAGTCACCCAGGCAGCAAGCAGTCCTTGCTTTCAGTCTGCTGGAGGGCTTGTGGGGACCAGTGCTGCCTATGAAGTAGGAGGTGTTGAGTGGGAAAGAGAACCAAAATTGGCCCTGGATAGTGAGGGGAGGGAAAATAAATAAAGAAAGAAAGAAAAAAGAATGTCCTTTGAAAAGGAAAAGCTTGTTTGACAGCTTGGCCACTAGGGATATTTAAAATCCTGCCAAGTTTTCCCAGGAATAAAGGAAAATTTTGAGGCAATTAAATATGAGATTTTTTCCTCACCAAGCTAAAAGTTAATGCTGACTACTTCATGAAATAAAACATCCAATTAGAGATAATGAGACTCCTGGGGTAACCCCCCAA